GTACAAGTGTAGCCATCTATGTGTAAAAACAATCAAAGAAGTACTCACAGTGGGCATATAATGTAAGTAAACGTCATAACCGTCGGCATTGGGTTAAGCATTATAAAAATTATATAAAATATTTCTTCAACAAAGTTATTATGCACTCTAATTTCATCAGAATATATTATTTTCATAATGCAGGAGAAAAACAAATTCCTATCCATAATCAGCATAAAAAATCAAAGCATTACTAATTAGAAAAAATAGCAAATGCAGTTAGCAGTATAAACTTGTTGATTACTTGCTGCCAAGTGTCACTTGCTACATTTAGTTTCTAAAATTCCCATTTACTTTTAAAAATATTTCAAACAATCACAAGCCTCTTGATCTGATTATGTAAAAGTTTTATCTAAAAATCTTTGTCCTTCAGCAGTCTTTTCATATAAAACATGCACTTGTCATATAGTTGTAACTCCACATACAACCACCTATATTTGAGGTATTATGTATATGTCTGTCTACCAAGCCTTAACCCTTTAACATGATTAGTAATCTAAAAGTGATCACATGATAGCACATTCTGGTGTATGTCAGGTAGCTTGCTTTCAGAAGTGGTATTCTAAGCCAATGACTAGACTGGGTATATTGCTAACTCAAGGAACATTTACTCAGGTTTGCTAACTTTTAAAAAAATATGTTGTTACTGATAGCTTATAATCTCCACATATTTTAATATTAACGTCATGAAGTATCAATGAAAGCTGAAAGAAAGAAAAAAAAACACTTGTCAAAAATGTGCTTTTTGAGATGTGACAGCTGCGGTACAATCAATGACATGCTGCCCACATTTGTATAAGCATAGATTCAGATATAGGTATGTTTTCTTTAGTATGACTTTATCAGGCAATCAGTATCTAGTTGAAATTCCACTGTAAGATGTTTTTTTTACATATAATTTTTTTTCTCCTCCTTTTCAGTATTGCTTGCATGAGACAGTGACCTGAGCGTTACTACATTCCTGAGTTGGTAAGAAGACCACATATGAATTCACTCCTCTCTGATAACCTGTTTATTCTGAAACATATCACGTTTCCTTAGAGCTACTGTATTGTCTTTTATCATTCACCTGAAATATGAAAACAATTAAGGATTTACAATTCTACATGATAACGACCCATTCCCTAATCAAATATCCCCACCATCTCCTTTAGACAGAAGTATATCTTTATTTACTAATCAGTAACTTGTCATCATGATATTAGACATTGAATTATTGCTGAACCTTCAGCTCATTAAGCTATGTTCAAGCTCCTGCCTATAAAATTCCAAATAATTATATGTTATACATTAATCAAATGTATTATTTATGCAGATCACACAGCAAGTTCAGTATTAATAATACAAATATAAATACACTACTAATATGTCACCTCTGGAAATTAAATATTCCACTTGTTGAGTAATACATAACAACTAAAATGGTTTAACAATTACAAATCTACGAAGATGTATTTTACTCTAGGTATAAAAAGTAAATATCATAAATCTGAAACTTAAGGAGCATATCTCATTAAAATAACACTCATGGATCAAAACAATAATGTCAAAATCTTGACTCTTTCTCTGACTTTAAATCTTGGTTTACTTTAAATGACAGAAAGGCTTCAAACACATACGGGTGTCCAGTGGGCCTCTGTCAACGTGTCAAACCCAATAATATGATACATAACCCTCTGAAACAACGATTCATCATGTTTACTGGGCATGTAAACAAAAACATTGGAAGAAAGTCCTCTACAGGAATACAGACATGCATCAACAACACAAGACAGGAAAAATATTGCCAAATTCTAATAACAAGTAGCCTGTAAACTTCAGAACATACTCCATGCAATGCATTTTTTGTTTCATTAGTGACAAAAATATAAACTGAGAAGGAAAGCCTCCCTTGCAAACCACCGAGGACCTGAGTGGCGACCTCGCATGCCCGTTTGCTTTTCTCTGCCCACTTTGGGTCCTTGACGTTTTACTGTCAAGTCTGCCTCCCCAGAGAATCACCTAGCCTGACCTCTAAGCCAGCACGAGCGGCCAGGTCAACTGCCAGCCAACAGCAATCGAATTGGACAAAACTAAAATGCCTCGACGGAGTTCAAACCACTTGGGCTTTTGGATTTCTCCGCCTCTTTCGAACCTCTTCCATTCCCCTTTCCCTCTGCCCCCTTCCCCTTCCGCTCCGGGACGCCCACACCAGAAATGCAGCCTCCTACCTTGGTCCTCGAGTGTTCACAGGGCAGCATAGAGCGAGTTGTTCGCCATCATCCTCTCGTCCCTCCGCACCACAAGCTTGGCTCGGAACCCTAACACTCATGTGAATTTTCCCGTTTCCTTCCACGGATCTTCTCCTCTCTTCTCCTCGTCGGTTTTTTAAGCGTTTAGAAAAATTATTACAAGGGAGGTAAATATTAACACAACAAATGGATCTTTTTTTAAGACGAAAAGGGGAAGCAAAATGTATACA